CCGCTCCCTCCTTCCCGGGCCCCGTCCTGAGGCGAGAGAGGAGCCGGGGCGACGTGGAGGAGGAGGAGGAGGAGGAGGAGGCCTCCTCCTTGGCCTTCCCTCCTTCCCTCACAGGCTCTCACGCCCCTTCCTTCCTTAACTCCTTCTTCCTCGCCCACGGGCGGACCCGAAGGCGTCGGCGCCTCAGCAAGGGGCCCCTCCGGCCGCGGTTTCGAGGGCCTCCCCGCCGCCGCCGCTGGGAGAGGAGGCCCGCGTCCCCTCAGGGTCGGGGGGGGGGGCCCCACACCCGACGGNNCCGAAGCGGACACGCGCCTGCCTGAGGCGGGTTCGTTCCCAGAACCTCAGGGTAGGTGGGTGGGTGGGTGGACGAGATGGCGGAGCTGCCCTCTGGCTCTGGCCGCCTGAAGCGAGGAGAGAAGCGCAAGAGACGCTCTGGAAAAGCCTGGAAAAGTTCCTTTTTTGGAATCTCGGTCCAAAAAAAAAAACAAAAAGAACTTTTCAGGGCTTGGCCTCTGCTTGTCATAACCAGCCATGCCTTTCTGAGAGTCATCATCCCCCCCCAAAAAATGAGTTTTTTTCAGGCTGGGCATCTGGTCACCCACGTCATTTTCAGACCCTAGGTAGGCAAACAAATGCATACGCAAATAAAACCCAGATCCACTTTTTTTCCCCTTTCTTCTTCCCCTCTTAACATGCCATCAGATGATCTCCCACTTCGGGCAACCCAAAGGTACCATCTGCCCCGTTCAGCTCATGTGAATGCAAGCCTGTGGCTTCCTTGAGGGAGTCAATCCATCTTGGATTTGGTCTGGTTAATTTATTTTATTTTTATTTAAAATATTTTTACCCTGCCTTTCTCTTGGAATGGACCAAAGACATCTTCCTCTTTTCCTGCTGCCATCATTATTTTTTTGGCTTTATGTATTTATTTATTTTAAACTGCTGAGTAAGTGGTTCCCACACCTTCTCTAAATTGTAAAACGTTACAGAGAAAATTATTGTTACCACCCACGTCGTCCAAGAGGGAAGAATGAGGCCTCACATGTAAAGCCAAAAATAAATAATAATAAAACTACATGCCATGAAAGGCTCCAGTTCTTCACTGTAACAAATAGATGTTCATTTATTATTTACAGATGTTACTATTCTATCGTTCATTCTTTTCAGAAAACAATATTACAATTTTAAGTCTTCAAAAATGAAAATGTATACACTTTAATTTTTTTATTTTAATATATGTGTATAATTTACTATTTAAAAACATCTCAAATAAACCCCACACTAGGTTTCGGCTTTGCGAAATCAGAGTGATAAAGTGTAGCGTCCAATTTGGGGGCTGTGTTTCTAATACCATTGTTGTTTTGCTACTGAAAGAAAGTAAGACACGTTTTTACAAAGATCCTTGTGTTTGCAATGCTCATTTAAAGATGATAGCCCCATAGCACCAAGAGGGGTTACACATATGCATTTATTTCTTCAGTCAAGCATTGTATGGCTCCTTTCGGACTGAAAATATTTTATACTTTTGGTCTACAAAGTTCTTTCCCTTCTTTCTATTCCATTATGACTAGATGTTCCTCAACCATATCTGAGTTGTGTGTGCAATGGAAAGAACAGCAACTGAAACACCCCAAAGTGGGCTTCCAGAATTCCAGTGTTGTGGGTTAACACTGGAATTCTGGAAGCCCACTTTGGGGTGTTCCAGTTGCTGTTCTTTCCATTGCACACACAACTCAGATATGGTCGAGTAACATTATTTAGTACTCAATTTAACAAAAAAAATTATTGGAGTTAGAAAACAACAGGAAGAGTCTCAAATCCCAAAATTCCAACTTCTTCGCCCAGCTTAGCCTGTGCTTTTATCCGATGGATGCAGTCAATCAACTGGGAGCCTTATTTCCTCTCTTTCCTTATTTTAGACAGAGTACAGAGGGAGCCGGCAAAGTCCGTGATAGCCATCGTTTTCCAGCAGATGGCAACAGAAGGTTCTGATCATTTCCTCACCGGAGAGAAAACTTTGCAGGGAGGGTGAGATCCAGTCCAGAGGTTGTGCAAAGTAAGTTATCCAACCAACAGAATTGCACGTCTGCACATGCTCACTTGATCCTAAGCCCAGTAATAAGAAGACAGACTTTAATAAAATGTACCTGGCTTTCAGTGTAAGGTAACATTCTGAAGGGCACTAAGCTAGCTGCCTATAGCAATATATTGCTTGGAGACGGACAATACATATACCATTATTACACATATAACTCACCTGCCTCCCACTGAGCTGAAGGTGGCTTATTTGGGCCTCTTCCTAGCCACTTTTACCATTAAAGCAAACCTGTAAGGCAGACCCGGCTGAGAAGAGGCGATTGGCTCAAGGTTGGGGTGGGATTTGAACACTGCATCTTAGTCTGGTACTCTTACCACTACGCCACACTGGCTCTTTTGCATCTCTTTGAATGTACCACCAGGGCATTGTCTGGCAGATCATTGCTGGTCCAGTCCAGTCTTGTGCCTCAAAGCAAATCAAGCAAGCTGTGAGCAGAGCAGGTGGCTCCATGTGGCAAAAGCAAATAACCCAAACGCCGTGAGCTCCATGTGGCAAAAGCAAATAACCCAAACTACAGATCACAAGCCAAGACAAACATGCATAAAACAGTAATATCAAAGATATAGCCATTATTAGATAGTAAGCTTCGCTGAATGTATAGGTGCTTCTCTCTAAGTAAACAGGCTTAGGACCGCACAGGAAGTGTTATAGCTGGAGATCAATAGAGCAGATGTTTGACCAATTTTACGGCTGAAGAACCCTGAGCTCAGCAGTGAGTCTTGATGAAGGAATAGGGGTGTTGAGAAATATAAGTGACTGTCCCTAGTTTCCATTTGTGTTAAATGTTGTTATCTCTTCTAGATTCTAGAGTCTAGAATCTAGAGTCTGTCCGTAATACACACATATCCCCACAAAAGGTCCCCCCGAATAACCAAAACTGACTTAGCTGAGAAACGAACAGGACCTTCATACTCCTTTCAGTTTACACCAAGTTTAAGCCAAAAGAGTTGGCTGGGTAGCTCAGGGGTTTAGCTACTTGGCTTCTGAACTAGAGGTTGGGAGTTCAATTCCCCAGCTGTACCTCTTACAACAAGAGCCAGCCTGGGTGTCCTTGGGCCAGTTGCACAGTTCCAGAGCAACCCGGGAAGAAGGGAATGGGGAACCACTTCTGAGTATTTTCTATCTGGAAAACCCCGGAAAGGGTCACCATAAGTCAGATTTGAGTTGACAGCAGATGATGATGATGATGATATAAGCCCAAAGTACCTCCACTTTTTCATCAAAACATAGCTATCACCAGCATTCTGTTGCACTTTCTAGCGATCTTAGTGTGGTAAGTGACACTACAGTGCGCTGACCCAGTGAGTGGGGATGTGGTAAATCAGCTCCTTTGTCACTTTCCTTCATTAAAACTCAGTTTAGCATGGTACAGTAAGTCACAATTAGTGTAGGCCCATTCTGTCACTTTCCTTCATTAAAACTCAGTTTGGCATGGTAAGTCACAATTAGTGTAGGCCCATTTTAATCAGTGTAAGTGTAACTTACAGAAGAGTTGCTACATTGAATCCACACGGATTCAGTGGGTTTCCTCTAGTGCAACTTACCCTTTTTCCCTGAAAATATGACCTAACCTGGAAATAAGCCCTAGTATGATTTTTCAGGATGCTCGTAATATAAGCCCTACAAAAAAATAAGCCCTAGTTAAGTGAACGCCTGCCCTCCATCCTTGTGCAGCAACCAGAAGATGACATGACTATATTTAAATAAACGTAGATTATACATGAAGAAAAAGCATCCCCTGGAAATAAGCCCTAATGCATTTTTGGAGCAAAAATTAATACTGTATAAGACCCTGTTTTATATTCGGGGAAACAGGGTACTATACTAAGCAATGGGATTTCAATCCTTGTTTGAGTTACCCATTCATAAATCATCATTTAACATTACAGAGGTAGGAAAACATATCTCAGTAACCACTATGCATAATACACCTTATAATTACCGTAGTTGTTTATGTTTGGGTAAATTAAGTATTGGATGCTTTTAAATGCTACTTTGCATAGAACAACACAAACTTTGACCTTTGGGGAGATGAGCGTTCCAGCCTGGACAGTTTTATTTTGCAGGATCACAGGGAGAATGTTCTAAAGTCCAAATTAGATGAGCCCTGTGAGGACATGAATCTTCTCTCATTTAAGCAAAAACAGTCTTAAGCGCCTCTCTGGCTTTGACCATGGAAGTGGAGAAGAATGGAAGCAGAACTAGGCGATTTAATCTAATTTCTCCAGCTGTTACTCTGCTCCCTTATCTCTACCCCACTGCTGTCTTTTCATCAGTGGCAGAAAAGATACAGGAAGCCTTTTATGGGATGATGATGACAACGGCCCTGTGTTTCAAATGTTTTCCTCCTCTGTCAGGTGACTTGACAGCACAAACCACCACCACAAAATGCAACCGTTCAGGGTCATCCACTGTACTAATCGTTTGGCCGCTGATACAGGACAGAGATTTAGAAAGGACTTCTTCACGCAAAACAAAATTAGATGTGCACTTACACAACACAAATACATTATCATCAGCCGCCTTGGGTCCTTTCCAAGAAGTAAGGTGGCATAAAAATATTTAAATGAATAAATAATCAACAAATAACAGGAGTAGGTGGGAAAGAGTTGCTGCCAAACATAAGGATGATGGTTTAGCATTTAATTTAGATGGCTCTGAAACAGGGCTAGGCTCCTTTAAGGGGGCTGTGGGCTGTTTCTCAGATGGGCTGACCATAGGTGTGTTTGCAAAAAC